TGATATACCAAATACACACATACATTATACTAATATACAAATACTAATGTACTAATACACATAATACTAATATACTCATATACTAATATACTCATAACACAATCTATATATATATGGACAGGATGATTGTATAATTGTAAGTACACATAGAAAAGGATGTCCAATATTACAAGTACATGGGAGTACAATAGAGTAGTGGTATTATTATTATTAGTGTTGGATGAGTGCCAAAATTCGGTCACAAAGTTGTACCAGCGATGACACTGTAGTGCAATAAATAACATGACACTAATAGACGGTGAGTAAAAACAACATCCAACCATAGACTATCAGCTCAACCACTGATTACACAATGTGCAACAAGAACCACTCTACCTATGTCTCTCTACTGAAAGAATGTAAAGTGCATTAACAAGTAGGACCACATCTCCAGATGTTCGCGGGGTTTCCCATAGGACTTTGGTATAACGCTCATGAAGCTTCCTTCCAGTAAAGTTCAAAATTTGGGTCAAAGTCCGGCTACTACAGTGCATGGTCTCGGGCCAAATTTAATAAAAGGAGAGATTTCTTCATTTTAATAAGTTTTTTCTGATACATATACATGTTCTTATGTTGTATTTCAAGTTTGAGCTTGCTCTGATTAAGTTTGGATTTAGTTATGAATTTTAAAGTTGCTCAAAAATTGGGTCAAAGTCCCTGTACTATTATAGTACAGGGTCACAGGCCAAATTTGCCAAAAATGAAAAGGAGAAAATTCTTCACTTTTATTACATTATCTGATACATATACATGTTCTTATGTTGTGTAGAAAATTTGAGCTGATTCCAATCAAATTTGAATTTTTGACAAATTCTTTAAATTGCTCCGAAATTAGGTCAAAGTCCCTGTACTATAGTACAGGGTCACAGGCCAAATTTGCCAAAAATGAAAAGGAGAGAATTCTCCATTTTTATTACATTATCTGATACATATACATGTACTTATGTTGTTTAGAAAGTTTGAGCCTATTCCTATAAAGTTTAGATTTTTTACGAATTTTTAAAGTTGCTCAAAATGCCATATATACATGTACATGTACATGTACATGTATATATGGAGTGTTCTTAGCAATGGTTTATGGGAACCTACTGGCTGTACCTGTACATCAGGTATAGCCAGTGAGGGATTGATCCAGTTACAATAATGAATTTAAGTGACTCATAATCTGATTAATGACAATTAGGATAGTCTAACTCTATTTTCTACTACAGCTGAACCCCCACCATTTCGCTGTACATTCAGTATCAGTCAAAATACTAGTACTATACATTGTCCATTATAGATACCGTATAGCAGGTATATTTTGTCTTGAATAATGTTTGTTCTAAGCAGGATTAGAAATTTTCGTTCGTTTTATTTTTGTTCTGAGCAGCCATTTTGAACATGTGGCATTGAGGAAACGCCTTTTTCATTTAGAAAATATTCGTTCCACAAAGAATGAGAACGAAATTAAACTCTGACAGAATATACCTGCTATACGGTAATGCCGAATAATTTTTTCAAGCAGGTCATATCATGGATGTACTGTCATTGTCTCTGCATAATTCTTTTATACTTAAAGCAGTCTCAATTAAAAGGAGGCTACCATCCAATTAGATCAGCTTGGCTAGCATGTAACCACAAAATTAAAAATCAGCTAAATATTCAATTGCCATTAAAGGCGTGGCACTAACATTGCGAGTCTACAAAAATCGATTTTTAACGATCAACAAAATTTTAGCTCCACAAAGTTAAAGCGCTATACGGTATTCAACTACTGCTTCTTGCCTTAGCTTGCTCCAGTAAAGGTTGTTGTATGTAATACTGGTATAGTGAGAGATCCTGACCAACTAGAGTATCAGTTAGCTGGGACCATCTTGAATGAACTGATAATAGGGAAGGAGCATCTTCTGTCTCGTGACCACCCTAAACAACAACAAATGTTATTATTATTATTACTATTATTATTATAAACAAAGGCAACAA